CATGGTTAGTTATCTTTCTGTGTTGTCCGCTCCCAGTTTGGCATTCATGTCACTGCACCCATTAGAATTTTGATGTTGGCAACTGGGCTGCGGTCTTGTCCAGTGTTGATTGCAGTTGTCTCTAGAATACCTCCTTCTTCTCTCGATCTGCATTGTTTGTAGGTGCGTAGCATTGTTCGATTGTAACTTTCCTTCCTTTTGAGTTGAATCTTGCTGTCATGTTCCTGATGCTGGAGGAGATTGGTTCCCACTGCCTGAGAGCCTTCGATGCTCTCGGGAATATCATGATAGCCACTCCAAAATTTAGTGTGCTCATGGTTGTCGTCTGAGTGACAATATCGGGGTAGATTATTGACTCTCCAGTTGACAGTTTGGAGAGTCCACTTCCATCCCACCTGCTTTCGCAGATTCCTAGCACTTCTCTGCTATACCCTCCCATCTCTTTGGCAATCTGGGAAGCCTTGCCAGCCAGCCTCAAACATTGTGAGGACATTCCATGTCCCCATCCTTACTTTCACTTTCATCGAGAGGAGAGAAAACACATCGGCCAACTGGCTTCCTGAAGTCTTTCACCAATCGGCGTCATTTCGTCTCTCCGATTCCAACGAGGAATAAGTTTGTTTTTATTTTTCATATTTTTTTTGAGCTTTGAAGTTTCTTTAGCGATTGGATTGGTTTTACGGGGTAGGGTTGCTAGCCTTATGCCCAACCTTCCTTCTTTACCCGGGCTTAGGACCGTCTAGTAACTAGTGAACTAGTTAGCCAGGCTAGGTTCTTTGTAACAATATTAGTGAAGCTAATTCGACTGTTGTCGTAAGAAGATTTCTTATGCTTGTTGTAGACTGGTATGACCAGTGAAATAGATGAGTCTGTCGGGACTGCTTTGGTTCCTGTACCCTACCTAGTACCTCCGATTCTCTAATCAGTACTTTACTACTTCCATCCTTGAAAACTTCATGTGACAAAGTGTTAGGTCCTGTTAGTTTACATTGTTCTTGGTTGGATATAGAGTTCTCAAATCTAAGTAGAGCCTGAGGACCGATATCCACATGTCATTCAGGTTCAGGCTGATTGTTGGGCAACTGAAGCGTTTTTGAGAGCCAGTTGAACTATGATTCGAAGTTTTCTGCCCAAAGTTGTGGCCGACTATTTTGTAAGGTTATGAGGGTCCCATCCTTCTCGGTAGTGGTTTCACTCACCATCGTTTACTTCTTGCCAGTATCCTTTTAAGTCTAAGTAGTTGCCAGGTGTTATCCAACTCTGATACCTTGTCCGTCTCTCTTTCATCACCCACCACTACTCTCAATCAACGCTAAGACTCCTGGTAAGTTTTTTTAAAATTTCCTACTCCTTTCAATCGTGCTCAAAGCCAGCTAAAATCAGTCTTCTCTCGTTAGTCATTTCGGATGTCTTCACGGAAATCCAATGACGTTCGCTAACCTTCGGGTGTGGGCTGTTTCCATAGCAAACATGTCACTTCAGGTTTTCTTTAGGATGAGCACTTTTGTAACATTCAGATAAATTCCTGGTTATTTCCTCCATAAATACGTACTATATGCCCATCGAGCACCTACATGAGTGTTCGGAGTCTGAACTGGTACGCCAGAAAGAACAAGAATTCCCTACCAATCCTCCCCAACGATGGTTTGTAGTAATATGATCTATTTGTGTTCATCTTTGATTTGAAGTCAGCGGGCACCATGTGAGACAGTGTCTCTCCTTATGCCTAAAGTTGGTGCTGTCCAAAAACAAGTGATTGTCAGGACAAAATTGCAAGACACGACCACCATTATCGGTTCCTTGGCATGCGATTTCGTAGATATCTCCAGCATGCCTTTCTGACTGGCTAGATCAGTTTCCCTACTTCAGCGATAAAGTCACCTACCATTATGACTACATCAAACGTCTTACTTTCTATAGTAAAATTGACAGCTTCGCATAGAATTCATCTTCTGCATCATCTGAACTGCATTCGTTGGGTGCGTTTTCGGAAATTACGAATAGGCATCACTTAGTCTCGCGATCCTTCTTAGTCCATACAGATTCATTCAGTCGAACAGCGCATAGACAACTGTTGACTGGTAGCCAGTCCAGAAGCGCTCCTTCTGCCCTACAACTCAATGCTGTGCCTACACTAGTGAGTCCGTGAGAGCTAGCCACTGGGTCTCTGGGTACTCGTAAGGTGAATGTTGAAAATTCATCGCATTGGCCAGATGAGGTCGACTCAATAACTACATTCGGGTTCTATTTGCTTGTCTCAGAGACACAACATACATCCATGGTTAGAGATTCCAGAGTTTTGGTGAGCGATGCACGCTATCGGATTCGGCACATGTGCTAACGGGGACAATTGTTGTTTAACTTCGGCGATGGGACGAGAATCGGTGTTTTCGGCATGGTATGATCAGGTTTTGGGGAAAGGTGTTGAAAAGACTATTCAAACACTTTGAACAAGATTGAAATTGTTTGGGACTAGCGTGAAAAACTCGTTTGTCAACCAGTTATTCGAATATAATCTACAGTAGTATGCTCGAACAATCTGTATGGTATTAACACTGTTGTCGAAGACGGGCGATTTGAGCCATGCGATAATGGTTTTCTTGAAAACATTTCTTCTGGTCCGTTACAATTTTTGCAGATAACGTAAAATTGTAGATCATCTTACATGGATTTCAAGGTCTTACTATTCTGAACCGTAAGATGAGTTATTTTCAGAAAACAGTAATGATCAATTTAACTTAGCCTAAAGTTTGTTTACCTTGGGTCTATGAGAAATGTTGTTTAATTAGATCCCAGTTGAATTAAAATGACAGTTTTCAGTCAGAAATGAAGCTTATCGATGCAATAGGACTTATGTTGACGCTTTAACCTTCTTCGCCGATAGAAGGTGGGGCGAAGGTATTTTAGAGCGAAATGTCTGAACCGAACAGCATATTTTCCAACTTACTAACTTTCGCTTAAACGCCCAATTTTTCAATTACTTTTCTATATATGCTGGGTTGAAGTTTATGGCAGGCATAATTCTTTGTAGAGTATTAAATGTATTCTGTTGATGCGTCACAACACGGTTGAATCTTCGCAACTGTTATACAGTTAACATAATTCTACACTGAAAGGGTCGTGGTATTTTGGGAACCTATGATCTTATATTTTAGGATTCTTAGTGTAAAACTACTAGGAGGGCAGAAATACGGTGAAATGCGTGGTGATTCTACTAGGTAGTGGTTCTGTATTGCAATTGTGAGGAAATTTAATGCTTTTTTTAAAGTCCAGAGTTACTCAAATTGTACCTATAGGCATAAAGCATTTGTCCACTTTGTAATACTTCAGCTGTTTCGATGCATTTAACTTAATGGCTTATGTTACTAAATGACAACCACTGATTCACTTGAAAACAATGTAATAAGTTCATCGGTTGGAGTACCTTCAATCAACGAGCGTCATACAACCAAAAACATTGGATTTATAATCTTTCACTACAGATCAAGCAAATAAGTCTCGGCTGAATTAAATGATTGGAATCTAAAGTATGCCGCATTTTATCAGGCATTACTTAAGAACTGAAAATCGGTAATTCCTGCGATCCGGTCGAATAAACTGGACAGGCGTGATATTTCACACTTCTTAATGCAAAAGACATTAAGATAGTCAGACACATAATATTAATATAGGACCTGGCATTACTGCGCAACAGCTGTTTCTTGTTGCAACAAGAATCAACAGACGAGTTAGGAATGTACTGTCTAGGACCTATTAGGCTAAGAGATTTGCCTCAACGTACCAAACAACACGTGCAGTTACACAATCTAAGTTAGACAAAGTGCCAAATCTCATTAACTCCAACTATATTTATCAATTCACTTGTACATGGACTAGCAACTACGTAGGAAGAAGAGACAGGGGGTTGTCTACTAGGATTGGCTAGCACATGTTTAAGAGTCTACGTCTCAGTGGTCCATCCACGTTCAACAGTGCAATAGCTCATCCCTTATTTGATACAGGATATGCGATGAAATTCTTCATAGTAGTCAACAGATGAAAGACCTCGTGCGTACCTCAAATTGCAGAAGCCAATACTATCTAACGAGTTCAACCAAAACTATGTTCAGAAGGGAACAGTTACCAACCTATTATTACACTGGTAATTAATGAATTTTCGTCCTCTTATCCTTCCCAAAATATTTCTCATACATTTATTTTGTGCTAATTCATATCCTTATTGATCATTGTTTCATGGTCACCGTATTTGTTATTATAACGATGATTTTATCTCACCCAATTATCATTTAGTTACAGGACCGTTGCGTTACCCTTATGTAGTTTGAGTCAATTTATTACTTGGACTTCCTTTGTGTTCTAAATTATTACGTTTTTCTTTTTGCTAAAACATAAACCAGTATCTTAAAACGCTTTACATAAGGTATGTTATTATTTGTTATAGCGATTGTTTGCTTACTTATTCAGGTTGCATGCAGCTGAAGAAGACCCTGTGAAATAAATGACGTTATCTTATCCTGCAAATGGTGTTCTTATTGGATTATTCAAGTCCATAAAGTGGAATAAATGTATGGAGTACCTGCCCAAGTTAGAACACATCAACCAACCAAAGGTAAGTCATAATTGTTAGATAAAAAGTAATCTAACTTGATCTGATTAACTGATGCTAGTTATTATTTCAAAAAGAGTAAGTTATTTTATAAAAGATAAATTCTTTGCATTCTGAGTGTGGTTGAATCAGTGTATTCATTATGTTCATGCAGTTCAGCGACTACTATTCATAAAAATACAGGCGCATAAAAGAGATAGCAATAAAATAAATACATACTGAAACAGACGAAGAATTATGCGTACATTTAAAGACTGATTACATAAATGTGAATCAAATAATAAAATAACGGAAATTATGATCACTTCAATTTGTTACAAGAGCTATTTATCAAAATGCATATATATATATATATATATATATATATATATATATATATATATAATACATATAATTATTTTATTGATGCGTAAAGTGATTGTTTGCCAAAACGGATGATTATGAGTGACAAGAGTACAAGAAGGCATGGCACAAGTAGTGAAATACTTACAACAAGTGGGACTTTAAAAAGCCAGGGTCTACTAGCTGGACAATCTACACCTGAAAACGCAAAATTCAGAGCGAAAGAGAAACGTTACAATGTTGGAGAATGAGTAAATTGGCATGAGATAAATTGTAAGAAATGTCAATGTAAACAATGTAACCAACAACCAGCCCAGAAAAAACGTGCCTGCATGCAACATACCAATATCACTTATGCTTCGCATTGAAGTGTTATGGAAAGGTAGTAGCTTCCTCCTCAACTCTATCCAGCTGACACTACGATGAAGAATCAGCGATGAATGGAAAACAGGAAAAGACACAAAAAAAGCAGTAATTTACGAAGACTAGAGAGATGATGCTTGTTTCCCGGAATTAAACAATTACAATCTCTGATCCTTCAACCGAAATATAATAACCTTCATTGAGAAATGTATCACTGATCGTCAGTTGGTTTGAGTGACATTTATTCATTCCGCTTGTGTGAAGTGGTTTTCAAGAGGGAGAGCTTCTGATCTTGATTGATTGAGTGTCGGAAACCTGTTATCTCTTCGTATCTTTCAACTTCAATCGCCTTGTCTCCCAGTCGTACAATAGGACAGAACGAATTGCAACGAAGTAATCAGATAGCTCGCAGGACCAGATGGAATCCCGCCAGAAGCACTGAGAACAGGCACACGGACAACAGCGGACATCCTCACATCACTGTTGCAGAAAGTCTGGAAGGAAGGGAAGGTACCCGCAGATTGACCGGAATAAGGGCTACCTTGTCAAAATCCCGAAGAAGGGAGACCTAAGTCTTCGCAAGAACTGGCGAGGAATCATGCTCCTGTCCCTGTCCACACCAAGCAAAATACTAAGTCGCATCATCCTGGAAAGACTAGAAGATGCGCTGGATTCAAAATTACGACCGGAACAGACTGGCTGGCTGGTTGGCTTCAGGAAGTACAAGTCATGTGCGGATCAAATTGCAACGCTACGCTACACGTCATCATAGAACATAGCATAGAATGGCAGTCAACTCTCTACCTCAACTTCATCCACTTTGAAAAGGCCTTCGACAGCGTCGAACAAGAAATAATTTGGCAGGCAGCTGCTTCAACACTACGGAGTGCCACAAATCCTTATCAACCTCATTCAACAGCTATATGCTACATGATACTACATGCCAAGTGATTCACAATGGAAAGCTCAGTGACACCTTTGAAGTGAAGACCGGAGTAAGACAAGGTTGCCGCCTGCTATCACCAATCATCTTCCTGATTGTAGTCGACTGGAATGGATCACGCAACAAACTGTGAGGAGCGAGAAGAGGGACATACGCTGGCTGGACCAATAAAAAGACCCTAGAAGATTTGGATTTCGCCAATGATGATTTATGTTTAATATCTTGTCACACAAACTCGAAGATCTACAGGCAAGAACTAACAAGTTGACAGGAGAAGCAGCGAAGGAAGACGGGACTTCAAGTGGACGTAGAGAAGACAGAGGTGAGGATGATACCCAACCAATGCCATCATCATCATCATTATCAACATAGGACCAAGCATTACTGCGTAACGGTCCGAGTTGCCACACCTCATATCAATACATCAAGTAAAAAGGTAGTGAGGTGTAGGATGAAGATAAGTGAATGCAGTCAAAAGAAATATAAAGTACGAGGAGAAAGGAAAGAAGAGTGACAAAATAGTGAGATTCGGTATAGCGTTGTTAAGATGAGGATAATGTGTGTATACATCTGCGCCACTGACTTCGGTTCTGAGCCATATCACCTAGGGTCTCCAACCACTGGTTCCTCTTGTCCCGTGGACCCCAACCACCTAGTCTGCATCGTCCTACATGGCTTAAACCAACAGTCAGAGACTTCATACATTGGTGCCATGTTTTAGTCTGGCCACCTCGGGCCTTTTTCCAGCCTGGACCCACCTCAGCCAACATTGTGTGACGAGGCAATCGGTGACTAGGCATACGTAGTACGTGTCCCAACCATCTCAGTCGATGAAGGTTCACAACCTCGTCGACTGACTTACCTCTTCTCCCCAAAACTCTACACCTAACTTCTGCATTACTCACATGGTGACACCACGGAATACGTCCTATACTACGAAGGCAACGGTGGTCAAACACCTGAAGCCTTTTTATATCCTCCACTTTCAATGGCCATGTTTCACAGCCATACAGTAGAACAGAGCGGACTGCTGTGCAGTACACGCGACCCTTAATAGACAAACGAATATCACGGCGGCGCCATAGGTGGCGCAAATTGGCAAAAGCCAATCGAGCCTTTTGTATCCGTGCAGAGATCTCATCGGCAACTAACCCACCGGGTTGATCCTACTTCCCAGGTAAGTGAAGTGGTCAACACACTCAACCACTTCACTCTCTATTGTTAACCGCGGTACCGCTGAAGACCAGTCCTGGAGCAAAAATTTGCATTTGGGTGGTGAAAATCGCATCCCAAACATTCTCAAATTCCCACTCAAAGTGTTCAGAAGACTCTGCATCTTGTCAGCGTCTTCACCTAACAGGACTATGTCATCTGCATATTCTAGATCTAAGGAAAATTCACCTGTGATCGGGTCAACGTCTGTGTAATTAGGTGACGAGAGGGAAACCTCCATAAGAATATCTATGATAAAATTAAATAAGAATGGGGATAGTGGGCATCCTTGACGGACACCACTTGATGAGTATAGCTCCCTGGACAACTCACCATAGGCTCTAACATGCCCACAAGTGTTCGAGTAGAGAGCTTTCAATAAGGTGATGTACTTACTAGGCACGCCTTTCAGTGACAGACACTGCCATAAGACTTCTCGATCAACGGAGTCAAATGCCGCCTTCAGGTCGAGAAATACAGCTATTGTCGGGCGTCTGTAAGCATGCCTATGTTCCAGGACCTGGCGCAGTGTGAATATTTGGTCGATACATCCACGGCCAGGTCTAAAGCCTGCCTGGTTTTCTCGGGCTTGCTGTTCCCGAGCTCCACTCAGGCGTCGGAGAATTATAGAACTTAGGATCTTAGACACTATGTTTGTCAGGCTGATTCCTCTGTGGTTATCACAAGAGGACTTCTCGCCTTTCTTGAAGACTGGGATGATGAGTGACTTAGACCAGTCGGAGGGGATCGTATTTGATTCCCATATACTGGCTAACACTTCCGTTAGCCTGACTAAGAGAACTCTACCACCATTCTTGTATACCTCAGCAGGTAGTCCGTCTGGTCCTGCTGCCCTTCCCGTTTCAGGCTACCTACCGCTTTCTCAACTTCTTCTAGTGTTGGGGGCCTGTCTCTATGTCGCATTCAGGGTCCGACTGGATAGCGAACCATCACCAACAACAACCAGCTCCAATCACCATCAACAGGAGAAACTCAAAGGAAGTAGTCTCTTCCACCTACATACCTAGGCAGCATCGTTTCAACTACAGGCGGCGGCACAGACGAGGATGTCAAAACCAGGATCGGAAGACCAAGACAAACTTTCACTAGTCTGAAATCAGTGTGGAGATCTTCTGCACTCAGCATAAAGTGTGAACAAGATCGAGATTTCCAACACCAACGTCAGTCAAGTCAGCACTTCTATACGGTTCAGAACTTGGCGCGTCACGAAAAACATTTCCAAAAAACTACAGACACTCATCAACAGCTGCCACCTACGCTCGCTAGACACTGAAGCTCAGATGGTCAGAATACTAGGAATAAGCAACAAGGAACTCTGACTAGTTGGCAACGAACCAACCAAGAACCTATTGCTCAACAAATATGCATTGGAAGGTAGTGGAGATGGATTGGGCATTCAGTGAGAAGACCATTCGAGGACATCACGCTCCAGGCCAGGCTGTCGAGTGGAACCCAGATGGGAAACGGCGAGTTGGGCGTCCGAGGATGACATGGAGGAGATGGTGTGAGGAAGAAATGAAAGCTTGTGAACAGTTGTGGCGCCAGGTTCAAAAGATTGCAGAGAACAGAGTGGAATGGAGACGTGCTACTGAAGCCCTCCGTCTCACTGGGAAACCAAGGAAAAATAACAAAATATTAAGCAGACAGCTCGCTGGCTCCAAAGATGATAAAAGTTGGCGAATGCCGAACAGGCCTTTCATATCGGACATGGGATTCCTTCAGCAAGTAGCTGATGCAAATCTGAGAGTAAGTGAAGTGGTCGACACATTCTCCCACTTCACTCTCTATCACCAAACTGGGAGTACTTGCAGCAGAATAGTCCTCAAAGCAGGTGCTAGCTAAACGCGTGCGAAACAAACTGAGTTTTCTGATTAACGTGTTCAGAAGACTGTATTTTTTCAGCATCTTCACGTAAGAGCACAATATCGTCTCCATACTCCAAGTCAGTTGGATGACTTCTAGGAAATAAAGTCATCCCTTCGAAGTCAGACGTACCTAAGGTTTTTGTCTATTAGTATGTCTATAACGAGGTTAAATAGGAACGGTAACAGCGGACATCGCTGGAGGACACCACTAGTTTTTGTCAATTCTGAAAACAACTATCCATCAACCCTTATACGGCTGACTGAGTTGAATTACAGAGTTTTGATTAGCGTTATATACTTGCTCCGTATTCTCTTCGCAGTCAGACAATGCCAAACACTTCATGATCGACTGAGTCAAATGCTGCCTTCAGGTCAACAAATATGACAAGTGTCGGCCGTTGTCAAGTAGGTATGCCTGTGTTCCAGAATCTGTCGGTGTAAAATATGATCGAAGAGTGCTCTGTCTGAAATCTTGTTTTTCTTGGGTTTGCTGTTTTTGAGCGTCATTTATGCGTCGTATAACTATGGACAATAGGATCTTGGATACAATATTAGTCAAACTAACTCCTTTATGGCTGTCATAAGATTTCTCTTCTTTCTTGTAGACTGGTATGATCATTGAAGTAGATAAGCCAGACAAAACTGCCTCTGATTTCCATACACTACCCAATACCTCCGTTTCTCTACTCATGAATTTACTACCTCTATCCTTGAAAACTTCATGTGACAAATGTCAGGTCCTGTTGCTTTGCATCTTCTCAGGATCGAAACATCCTTCTCTACCTCGAGGAGAGTCAGAGGACCGACAACTAAAATTCATTTAGATTCGGGCTACAAACTAGGAAACTGGAGCCTTACTATAGGGAAGATGAACTGTGCTTCAAGTTGTTCCACAAAAATTTCAAGCCGTCTGTTTTGAGAGGTTACCACGGTTATATCCTCTATGGTTATGATCTCAATAACCATCGTCTGCTTGCCGGTATCCCGAATTAGCCTAAACAGTAGCCTAGTGTTACCCAACTCTGATGCCTTCTCTACCTCTCTCGCTTTCGTCACCCACCACTAATCACGACCAACGCAAAGACTTTCGGTCCACTTAAGTTTAAGTTACTTTCGCTCTTCATCGTAGTCAGAGCTAACTAGGATCAGCCTTTTGGCACCAGTCAGTTCAGATGACGACGCAGAGATTTGATGACGTTTTCTAGCTTTAGAATGTAGGCCATCAACTGTTTCTAACAGTTTCCGCAGCCAGGTTTCCTCAGGATGAGCATTGCTGTCATGTTCAGACAAATGCTTGGCTACCTCTTACCTAAATGCTGTCGACGTTTTTATCTTCCAATCGACCACAGATGGGCTCTACTATCACTCATTCCCTACGACCAGTAAGGTGCAGGCATACACGAGCCGGTAATTGCACGTGGTCAGAGTCCAAAATTGACAGCTTCGCATAGAATTCATCTTCTGCATCATCTGAACTGCATTCGTTGGGTGCGTTTTCGGAAATTACGAATAGGCATCACTTAGTCTCGCGATCCTTCTTAGTCCATACAGATTCATTCAGTCGAACAGCGCATAGACAACTGTTGACTGGTAGCCAGTCCAGAAGCGCTCCTTCTGCCCTACAACTCATGCTGTGCCTACACTAGTGAGTCCGTGAGAGCTAGCCACTGGGTCTCTGGGTACTCGTAAGGTGAATGTTGAAAATTCATCGCATTGGCCAGATGAGGTCGACTCAATAACTACATTCGGGTTCTATTTGCTTGTCTCAGAGACACAACATACATCCATGGTTAGAGATTCCGGAGTTTTAGTAAGCGATGCTTGCTGTCTGATTTGGCACGTAGTTCGGACGTTGTTAGCTCGTACATGAAATCGATAGTGGGGTCTTAGGAGAATAAGATTGAGGTGCGAATAGCTTTAACCGTTGACAATGGTCGCAGAGTGAGAGGTTGGGTAAGACGTAAGAGGTTTAATATTGTTGTTGAAGTTGAAAGCAAAGGAGGAGACAGTTGAGGAGGATAGGTTATGTATGATTGGGTCTTGTGTACTACTGGAAGCGTGTGGGCGGTCAACACTTTCCGGCAGCCTACGCCAAGGAAGTTTTTTTGGAGGTCACCTGAAAAAGATAGATTTGCGTGAATGCAGAGACCATGGGTATTTACTTGAAGTTTGTCACACAGCCTTTTGAAGGTTGCTGGTTTGAGACATGGTTGTTCTATCGCTCGGGAGGAAAAACGCATATCGCCGGCACCGGAAGTTCACAAGAAAAGGAAGAATGTGCTATTTTTGGAGCCGATGTTTTGCAATCCTCCCTCAGCGCAGACAAGGCACCATCAGCATTGTGATGTTCGGTATTCAAAGAAAATATTTTATTCCTGACACACCCCAACCGGTCAGCAGTACGACTTTGTCCTCGGATTATCATCACAGTGTAGCAATTTACACTATGATGATAATAGCATTCTGTCTTACGACTATTCAGCTGACCTTGCTGGTATGGTAGGACTTCAAGGGGACAACTGTGTCACCAGCATAGCCCGTTAGGTCATTGTGATATGCAAGCCCGATCACTATATCAAAGGAGTATCTATCGGTCAGGTTCTCAAGAAAGGATAGAAATCTTGTGTCAATTAGTTTGACGAAAAGCGTGTTTAAGAGGTGAGGTGTAGGAATTTTGGTGAGCATTTATTCAATCGATAAGCTCGTAAACCGTCGTCGACTCAAGAGGATGGGGCACGCATCATGCATGCCAAATTACCGCTTAATCCGATGCTTAGTGTTAGCTGAAGTGGATTTAGACTGGAAAAACGTTAAGGGTGACCAAGCTAGAATGCGGAATCAGTTCATGAAGTCTCTGACTACTTGACTGAGCCATGTACGGAAACAAACTTCTAAATTGAGGTCTGTGTAACAACCAAGACTAACTGTTCGAGATTCTAGGTGATTTGGTTAGAAATTCATCTTTGAACTTATCACATTTCCTTGTTTTACTCTCTCTTCCTCCTTTCTTCTTAAGACTTTCTACAACGTTCGACCAGATTTTGGTTCTTTAATTCCCTATCTTTCATCTTGGGGTTTTGCATCTTGATGTGAGGTACGGTCATCAAACAGTAATGCTACTTCTGCTTTTAATGTCTACCACTATATTATAGTCCTACGTTATATAGATGTTTTACGGCATGCATAACTTGACTAGTTCCAAGATTCTGAGCAGAAGCTAAGGTTAATGTATCTAAAGTGAGGAGCGAGTAAGTTTCTCTGGGAATATTACAATAGTTTTTATCATCAGCTTGAACGTGTGGAACAAATAGAGGTGATTACAATAAAGTCTACTGTTGATTCTTATTCTGGATAACACTTCCCACTGTTGTATATAAATGTATGTGGAAGCTTACGAAAAATCCTAATTCGGCAAAACGATAACAAGTTAAAGAAGATTATTTCAGAGGTAACCAATATAAGATATTGGGAAAAAAATATTCGCATACTTAAAAAAATAAGTATACTCACCAAGGCTTTCAAATTCTGCATGGTCAGAAGGTCGGAATGCTTCTATGGTGAAATTCATGAAATAAATGTCAATTTTTGATTCCTCTTCATCTTTCATAAATAGCTCTTTATATATTTTTCTATCACATACATAATACGCCCCAACAGGAAGACTGAACAACGCTGTATCCGTATCAGCTTCATTCTCATCATCTAAAAAAAAACCATTTCCTTGAAAAAAGACGCTTAGATTAAGTAAAGGTTGTTATCATGGGGAAAAAAGGAATCAAATATGTATTTCTGTTCAAGTTAAGCACTCCAATACTTGAATGCACATTAGCTGTGCACTTTGAACAACACTTTTCGATAGCGATCTTATAAGTACAACTCGAAAAGAGGTATAAAATAAGAAAATTCAACTTGTTACTTTACATTCACTTATGAGTACGAAAGTGTGTACTACCTACGAAGAAAAACTATCGAACTGATTAGACTGTTTGTGGTGAAACAGAAATTTGGAGGTTCTATCAACGCGATTTGTTATCCAAACAAACAATTTACCGAATTGAAAGAGTTTCATAGAAGTCAAAAACGACATCACTTATTAAAATAAGGGGAATCGGTAACAGTATTGTTGAGTGTGATGCTCAAGGCATATCAGTGCAAAACAATGCAAAATAAGCGTACGCGTGCTTATGAACTTATATATACATTAAAATAAATGTTTACTTAAGAAAAATTTCTAATGGTTTGATTCAGTGCTTTCAATTAGATTAGCAGCAAAACATTTTAGTGAGTAAAATAGTTAACTACCTGATGAATCCTTTCTATACTTGAGTTTTACTTGTTCCAAAGTGTATCTTTCTTTATGCCGAACAAAATAAAATGTAAGACTCCAGTATGGGTAACCAACAGCTGGTATCCATCTAATTGTTATATCCTGTTGTTCCTCTTCACAAGTACCATTCACAGCGATAATATCTTTTGGTGTAGTACTAAAAAATGTTGTCAGACTTATGCCGCTTTTCTTGATGGGATAAAAAATTAAGTGAAACTAATTATCATCTTTTGATGTTGCGGAAAATAGGCAACTCATGTAGTATAAAAATGTTGGTGACTATCACATCTAAAATCACCTTAAGCAATATATATATATATATATATATATATATATATATATATATATATTTGAGGTTTATGGGAATTTTATATAGATAGGTATTTTTTCTAGCATGGGAAGTCTCAACAGTACGCACCCATGCTCAAGCCCTTCAAGTTTCAAGGCGAACGCCTTAAAATATACATGTTTTTGACAAGAATTTGACGTAAAGCTGTTGAAAGGTGTATAATAGTAATACCTGATAAATCAAACGAAATTAGGTTAAGTCTGTCTTAAGCCTTGCGAAGGACAACTATCTAGATTACTAGTATTTAGACCGAAACCGAAGTTGAAAATAATTTCCACAAAAGTATTTATTACTCTTATTGCTGATAGAAGCCATATAATGACAATGATACCTGAGGTTAAATTGGCTTGTAGTAATCATGTCGTGAAGCTTTGTCGTTGGCTTTATTTCGCACTCAGTAGGAGAACAATCAATAGAAAGTATACACGTCCAATCTTTACTACATAACGGTCTAAGATCATAAGAAAACATGCTGGCTTTATTCAGAAAAACCTATTTTCGAAAACATGCTGCTGATAAGCAGAAATTATAATTTACATACGTACCACTTTTACCATGCTGTTGGAGAAATCAACGTGGAACCGCAAACAGAAGTGCATCGGTTGGATTTCCCACACTTCACAGTAGTATGCAGAGAACAAGTGGATAGAAAACGACTGACATCAAAGTAGACAGAGGTATATAGGAGGAATAATAATTTGAAGACAAAAGTTAATAACCGTGACCGATTTCCAACCGTATCATTATGTCTAAGACCATTGGTCATTGCAGTTTCAGAGATGCGAGTCAGGCAGTCCGCATTTCTCTGTATAGCTCAGGCCAGCAGTTAAAGTCGTAATAGACCTGTGGCACCTCTTAGCCACAAACCAGACTCATCATTGACAAGAACTAAACAGAATGGAATGCAAGTCCGTTCTGAAGCTATCAGCGTCAAGGCCACTGGACTAGGCTTTAATAAACCTTGCATAACCGACCTGAAAAATGGTAAGTAACTAAGTCTAAACGGCGTGCTAAGAAGCCAATAACGGTCATCGAACCAGCTATCATGACTCCACAGAGCAAAGAGAAAGTAGAGATCCTTGAAGGGTCCGTAATCTTCCACAGAGTGGAGGAAAGTAGAGACTCAGAACCACGTAGACGTTTTTAACATGACCTTGGCAAAGTACAAAGTTTGATAAACCAGCTTTTACCAGAAAACATACCAGCAGTCACCCTACTCAAGATATATAGAGTAAGAAAACGGGAAACGGTCATTAATGAAAATAAGTTTCGGCTACTTAAAGTCGTGTTCAAGTCAGCAGATGAGAGGAATCAGATTCTGAAGAATGCTCACAGGCTTCAAGGATCTGTAGCATTCGTGCGAAAGGATCTGGCTCTTGCTAATCGAATCAAAAAACGAGAAGCAGAAGTAGAACTAAAATCCAGATTGGCAGCTGGAGAGCAAGATCTGAAAGCAGTGGGTTTTCGTGTAATGAGGTTTCGGTAACAAACGATGTGGAAGCCTCTATGGATAGGACGGAAACTCATTTAAGTAGTTTCGCTGTCTTGTACACAAATGTACGTAGTCTTTTATACAAGTGGATTGAGCTTAGTAATGTGATAAGCAACGAAAGCCCTAACATCATTACTGTCTCAGAAACTTGGCTCTCTTCTTGGACCAGTGACTGAGAAACACACGAGGATTCATCCCTTTTAGAAGTGACAGGTTACCACGCAAAGGTGGTGGTGTCATCCTTTACGTTAAGAATACTTTGACTGTAAAAAAGCTATAGAAACAGTTGCACATGAAAGTGGAATATGTGAAATGCTCCGCTGCCGACTAAAATGCAAGGGGCAAGATGTTAACGTAATCGTAATATATCGAAGCCCTGAATGTGAGGCAGCAGAATTCCTCCTGAATAAGCTGACCTTCTGGACAGATAAATGCCAATGCCTAGTTGTAGGAGACTTCAACGCACCATTAGTTGACTAGGATAGACTCATAACAAAAGCATCACGAAATTCGTTTGACCATCGGTTAATGGGAACATCAATTTCCCTAACCCTCATACAGCACATTGGGACACCAACCAGACATGATCATCAGCACGCTCCATCAGTTCTAGACTTAGTATTCTTACATTCACATGATGTATGCTTCATCTGGCACCTAGCATCCCTTGGTAAAAGTGATCACGCTGTGATTATCATCAGTTTCACAGCACATGTCTTATACCAGGCTGATGCCCCAGCTATTGGCCTGGCAGCCTCTTCGTAGGACTGGACAGTCAATCCAGAAGCCTCAGTTGAAGGTGGGTGGTGCTCCTTCAAACAGTTATACGCACGAGCGACCCAACCGCTCATTCCGTGGACTGTCCCGAGGGAACGGAAACATTGCCCTCCGTGGATAAATCACGAAATCCGAACCTTGCTACGACGTAAGAGTTCAGAGGGTAGCCACTCTCGTATGATCCCTACGATGGCTGGCCTCACCTATGGAGACCGACTTAAGAAGGTGACCCTCTTCACTTTGTCGTATCGCAGACAGAGGGGAGAACTAATCATGCTATACAGGATTCTAAGAAATGACTTCGGACCTGACCTATCTTCTCTTTTCCTTCCCACTAGGTCGGAACACCTTAAGGACATAGTAGGAGGCTACAAAAACAAACAAGGAATATAGTCTCCGCAGAGTACTGGTTCTCGCATTGAGTAATGAACACCTGGAACCGAATCCCAGAGGAAGTGGTGTCCGCATCATCAATTGACTCGTTCAAAAGGGGATTGGACAAGAAAGGAAATCTACTGGAAAAGGATTAATATAGGCTCCCAGCCTTATATCTTCAAACAACAAATCTGAATCCTATCTTGGTTAATGTTGACGCTGGCTCGGCATTTGCAAACCATCCCAGTTGAAAGGTGCATGACCACATCAACTTAACTGTCTTTTCTGTCTAGTATTCTTCAACTTACCTAAACATTGCTCACAGTGATTCTATGGTATGCGAACAACGCTACAATGAACTCATGACCAAAACTAGGAAACTATTCATATCTAATTCCAACAGCCATGTCTCACAGCCACACAATAAGACAGAGCAAAAAGCAGTGAAGTATACCAGTCCCATAAGAAAGTCAACACTAGCTATTTTGTCATGATAAACAGTAAAGCTGAATTGCGTTTTCTTACTTTCTCAGTGATTATAAATTCTAAAATTATCTTGAAAATCTCGTGTAATTTTCTGTTCTGTGCAAGAAAGAATAGGCGTTTTATTTTATATGGTTTATATATGCAAATAACCTAACCTGATCTTCTACAATAACTCGCATCATAGAACTAACAGCAGCGCACTTAGTTAAGACAGTTCCAGGTGGTGTTCTCCATGTATAAACTTCAGTTGTTAGTGTAATGGTAACTATCTTCGCATTAGTACCTGTAGGAATTTTCATCCTGGTAGTTGCTTTTGTGGAAGTAGACTTAACGTCATCTGGCTCAACGGTAAGTCGTTTAATACCCAATTCTTCTATCACTTGCTGATTCTGAAAAAGCAACGCTGAAAGGATAAAGTAAGACATTTTCTTACAGTTTAACAGCGAAAAGAGGAATGATATGAAAGCTGACGATATCATCAACTGCTTCTACTAAGTTTTAACTACAAATTTGCAATTGTGTTTATTTATTAGATCACAAATAAAAAACGCAAGGACCTACTCCACTCATCACCATTTATTCGACACAACCATGTCGAATAGTTTCCATGTGCATGAAAGCTTTATAAGGCTTTATAAGGCCAGCTGCAGAGGTCAGCTGTAACGACCAGGTGTTGACAGGGTTTCGTCTAGCCTGCAGATAGATGAAACGTTGTTGCCAGGGGAGCTAGTGAGTTTAGTGGTGAGAATCTGAAGTGGAAATGAGGAAAAGAAAAATGTGAGCCAACAACTCTGCAAGTGCATAAGATGTACTTACACCTAATGACAAACGATAACAAACGGTTACAGCCAAAAAACGAACGTGACGCGTTTGCGGTTCCACTAACCTTGCGTTGCCAAAAGGAAGGCGGGTTTTTCCAATCCAGTGTTGATAGTGCGAGCGTAGAAAACTGATAGTTTTGATCTCTCGCGTCTAGTTCATAGGACTTGGTTCGAGTTGTTCGGTTCACTCCCGCAGTGGACAAGGAAATCTCCTCTGTTTTCTTGCTTTTAGCTTCGGTGAGGTGGATGTTTTGTGGGTTAGTACCCAATATCCAATACCTTCTTACGAGCTAGTGTAAACCAGTTGGTTTCTTCGCGCTCGCTTCTAGGTCTTAGGAAACGGTTCCAGGTCTTTGGCGGATTCCGATGCAGTAGGTCTACCCACTCGACTGCTGCAGCTTTAGTTAGCCCGACGGGCATTTGGGTGTTGGTTAAATTTGCAGGGAGTTTGTGTTGTTTTTTCCAAGGACTGTGGTGCAAATGGGTTCCTCAAGTGTTGTGCCAGCAGAAAAATGATCAGACTGGTTGCAAAAAGGAGATGGAAAATATGTCCAGAGAAATCAAGGGGGAGTGCGAAGAAAACTAGACAGCAGAAAAAAACGATTAGGAAAAAGGAAACGTCACGGAAGAAACATCGGTATATTCATGGGGGAGAGGTGATGAGGACAGCTTTTAATAAAGTATGAGAACTTAAAGTCAGTAGGAAGAGAAGGAGAAAATAACATTATAGGACGGCTTATGGGAATAGAGATAGTAATTCTATTAGGAGGGGACGCTAACAGGAGGGGATGTCTATAGGGGAGTTTGAGGGAAGGTTGAGCCAAGTTCTCAGTGATAGTGGTGCTACAATGTATTCGATAATGGGTTGGCCGTACTGAGTTAGTAGGTTGTGTCAGCCTAGTCCATATTCCAGCTGGATGAGCGCAAGCCGTACGTCGCTGCGTAACTGTCCAACGTCTTCTTGAAGCTGTCAACAGACGGAGCAGTAGCAATCTCAGCAGGCCATAAGTCCCAGTGGCCGAAAACTCGCAGAGAGAAATGTGAACGCAAAGAGATTATCGTCCTTTGGTGGGCGATTCGCCTTGGGTTACCACGAGGATCGCCATAGTGGCCGTTCGGTAGGATTCCACTGGTCGGGTAACTTGGGTTGCTGATTATTTTGTAAGCCGTTATCAAGTCCCCAGGTAATCTACGGTAGCCTAAACAGTAGAGTCCTAGATCTTTCAGCCTGTCCTGATACGGTTTCCGCCTAATTCCCACGACACCCTTTGTAGCTCTCCTTCGGACTTTCTCCAGAAGGTTCACATCTCGTTTCACATATGGTGGTGCAGTGACGTTGTGTACCTCTAGGTGGGGTCGTATATGTGTCTTATGCAGCTTCAAAAAGAGTTTCGGGGTCAGGGCACCTAGTTGTCTGCGCATGTAGTGCAGTACTGCGTAGGCTCTGGAGGCATCTCCTGGATAGTTGGAACTGGTGTCTAGTTTGTCAGGCAGTATTAGTCCTAGGTCTTTCTCTGTGGTGGTGTGGGAGAGTTGTGTTCCACAGAGAGAATAGGGTACCTTCTGAGATTCTGGGGTGCGGAGAAACATGGCTCGGCATTTATCTAGATTAAATGCGAGTCCGTTAATATCCACCCACTCTGCAAGTAATCTCAGATCACTTTGCAGTACACTTGATTCTGTTTCTGACGTCACAGCTCTCCATAGCTTAACATCATCAGCGTAGAGTAGAGTTAGAGAGCTGAGATTCAGTGGGAGGTCGTTCACAAAAAGAAGGAATAGCAGTGGACCCAGAATCGCCCCTTGCGATACACCAGATGATGATGTCCTCCGAGTCGAGCAAACTCTATTGGCTTTTGTGCAGAATTGTCTACCGTCTAGATAGTCCTGCAACCATGAAAGCATTTGTCCCTTGATGCCCAACCTTTCTATTTTGTGAATAAGAACGGTGTGTGGAACTGTGTCGAAGGCCTTAGCAAAATCCAGGAAAATTGCATGGACAGGAATTTGGAGGTCCCAGCATGCCGTCCACTTATCACCGGTCGCCAGAATGTTTGAGGCACAGGATCTACCCTTTCTGAAACCATGTTGAGCATCACTAAGTGCTCCCCTCTTTTCTAAGTACTCCCTGACATGGTCGTCTACCAGGCTCTCTATTACTTCTGACACCACTGGTAGAAGGGCTATCGGTCGATAGCATTTTGGGTTCGTGGAAGCATGTGATTGTCTAAGGAGTTTTGAAACAAATTACGCAGCGGGCTGCACAAGGCGTCCGCGCAGTGTTTCAACACACCCGGCCGGATGTCATCACACCCTAGTGATTTCCCTACGCGGGGCTTTGGCAGCTTTACGAGGACCATAGCAGGAGTTACCTTTATTCTATCCAACTCTACTGCATTTGGTGGTGTTGAATGCTGCTCGGGCAGTTGGCAATTTTGGTTAGATGGAGACGTGGTCAGTTGCGTATCGAAGACGGCGCTAAAGGCTTCGGCGACCTCTAGTCCGGAGAGGTCCTTTCCGTTCAGGCCTTTCAGGATGCAAGCCCCTTGGCTGGTATATTTTCTGCCTGCCATAAATCGATACAGGTTTTTAGGGTTCACCTCGCGCTTTTGGGCAAGGTCCGTCTCGAACAACCTTTTGTCTCCGCTCACTTTGATGTTGCGTCGATTCCCTAGGGCCATATACGCAGTATCGTCAGACTCTTCTGGAGGTCCTCCACTTATGCCATGCTTACCTCTTGGCTTTCAGAGGCAGTTCAGTGTCTCGCTTCAGCCATGAGGTTCGCTTCCTCGGTATTGCTGTGATTACAGGGACGTTTTCAGAGATAGCCCTCTTGATGATATCTCTAACTAGTTTCCAGTGTTGATCAATCGAGAGGTTACTTCCACTCCTGAGGCCATGATGCTGTCAATAGATATTGGTTCATCGCCACGTAGTTTGCCTTCCTGTAGTAAATACAAGGGCGAGATCCCTTCCATGACAGTTGTTCGTTAAATACCATGTCGAACACTACCACGCCGTGATCGCTGCTGCCAAGGGGGGTTTGAACCTGAACGTTTTCAGTCGGTAGATGGCCGCTGGTAAAAAGGTAGTCCAATTTGAACGGTTTTCCGCCCGACCCCCAGCGAGTGTCATCACCAATATTCTTGTGCAGTCCAGCCTTTTGGGTAGTGTTGAGTAGGTTTCGGTTGAACCTTCGGCTTGAGGTTCCCCTGTCCTGCCCAAGACTGAGTTGCAGCATTAAAGTCGCCGGCTATAATGACCTGGTCATATCCCATGGACGTCGCTCCGGACATTACTTGCAGCAGTTGTCGGTTATGTTCCATATTGTTAGTAGGATTTCTGTAGACGCCCCCTACTAGGTACTTGGTGTCTAACCGTAAAGTAATACCAGATGGAGTCTGGGAGCCCTAAAAGTAGGGTTTCAGTTACTCGTTCACTTTTAAGATGGTCACTAATACACATAAGTAAATAGCAATTTGCGATCGGGGAGCCACGGGTTGCTGGGAAGGCTAGGGGACTTGTCTGTGTAGGTAACTGAGTGAGAATAGTAGGGTAGTAAAGAAGAAGAAAGAGAGGAAGAAAAAAAGAAGAAAGGTGGGAGTCGCCCGAAAGGTGAAAGTAGATAGCGAAGGTCTATTTTCTAGAAAAGAATTAGTAGGTAGTGTAGGTGTATTAAAGAGATAGTGAGTCGTAGGCAGAATGGAGGTGAGGGTGGGCTAGTGAAGTTGGTGACTCTCTGAGTACGTCCCTGACATAACTGTCTAACCGCCTCTTGAATGAGTTAACTGAGGGGGCCATGACGATATGTCGCGGTAGGACATTCCATAAAGCACATACTCTCAGATAGAAAAAATTGGACCTAAGCGTGGTATTGGTTCCCTGATGTGGTATCTTAATGGGGTTTCCTCGTGATGGTCGCTGTGTTGCAGGCATGGCTAATTTGTTTGCGTGGTTTGCCTGATGGGCGATCTTGTATGCCATAATAAGGTCACCCCTCTTCCCACGATAACCCAAGGTAAATAGCTTTAGGTGTTTAAGTCTTTCAGGATATGCCTTCCCCTTTAGCCTCACAACTGATTTTGTTGCACTCCTTTGTATTTTTCCAAGATTAGAGTTTCTCTTGAGTGTTGGGGACCATCGTATTGAAGACCTCTAGATGAGGCCGTACGTAGGATTTGAAAATGGTGAGGAAGAGTTCAGGGGTGAGGGAGCTAAGCTGTCTACGCAAAAAGTGTAGGATGGCATTCGCCCTGGTTGTCATACCTTTGTAGTTGGAGCTGGTATCCAAGGTGTCGGAGAAGTTGAGACCACATCTTTCTTCATGGACACTCTGGTGACAGCACGGTTTCTCAGCATGTACTGGAAGTCAGAGGTACTTGCTTCATATTTACTGATGTGCATTACTTTGCACTTTTCAGGTTGAAGCTCAAGCCATTTCCCTACGACCAGGGCTCGAGTTACTGCAAGTACTTTTGTAGTGCTGTACAGTCAGTTTCTTCGTTTTTCACCCTCCAAATGTTAATGTCGTCAGCGAAGAGGAGGATGGATGAGGATATTTTGTGTGGCAGATCATTGACAAACAGAAGGGACAGAAGTGGTCCTAGGATTGCTCCTTGGAATACTCCTGACGTCAACAGTCTCCACTTCTACCTTAT